AAGCAAGTCAAAATCCAGGCCAAAAGATGAAAAATGTTGGTGCCCAAAGAAAGGTATACCCGTGAAATAGCTGCAACTGTTCAAAAGTTATGGCAAAGGTTAAAGTTTTTTAAAAGTAAGTAAAACGTCAAGGTCAAGGTCAAAGTTGTTGGTATCCAAAGGAAGGTCTTGTCACAAGGATGACATATGTAAAGTATGAAAGCCCTAGCACCAACATTCCAAAGTTATGGCCAAGGTTAAAGTTCTTCAAAAGTAGGTCAAACTCCAAAGAAAAGGTCAAAGGGTTTGGAATCCAAAGGAAGGTGATGTCATAAGAATTACCTATGTGAAGTAAGAATGGCCAAGGTTAAAGTTCTTCAAAAGTAGGTCAAACTACAAAGAAAAGGTAAAAGGGTCAAAGGGGTTGGAATCCAAAGGAAGGTGATGTCATAAGAATTACCTATGTGAAGTATGAAAGCCATAGCATCAACCATTCAAAAGTTATGGCCAAGTTTTTTAAAAGTAGGTCAAACATCTAGGTCAAGGTCAAAAGGTCAGAGTGGTTGGTGTCCATAGGAAGGTAACAAGGATTACATATGTGAAGTATGAAAGCCCTAGCTTCAACCGTTCAAAAGTTATGGCCAAGGGTAAAGTTTTTCGGAAGTAGGTCAATCTCCTAGGTCAAGGTCAAAGGGTCAAAGAGGTTGATATCCCGAGAAAGGTCTTGTCATAAGATATACACATGTGAAGTTTATAAACGATGTCAGATTCTACGTTAACTTCATGTCTTTTAATAACAATATCCTCATGTTCTTAATATCAGGAGTTGAGTAATTGAAATAAGTCTGAATTCTGAACGTAATGTGTATTTACCAAGAGTTTGTCTTCAAAGTTCATTAATATAAAATGAATTACTTCAATCATACAGGGAAAATTATCATATCTCAAATATATTTTGAGAAAACGCACATAAAAGTACCTGCTATGTATTTTCTAATTGAAAATTGACTAACAAATATATTTTAAGATAAAATCAACAATAGTTGTCTAGATATTAAATACATGTATACTTTTACTTTAAAAGTACTTTTATTCTTCTATTCACTTCAATTATATTATATGATACATAATGTACAAATCTTGTGCTAACTTTGCAAGACATCACCGATTATAGTCAACTGTTTGTGTAGTAAGAATGGAATTCGTTAATTATTATACTTAACCATCTTTTAAAGTATTCGCGAGTATGTTAAGGCTACACACAGATATCCTACTTGCCTTCACAATATGACGTCATAGTAAGCTATATGACGTGAACTTTAGAGATAATGATTTCTTATTATGTATATTTAAAGTTTAATTTCAGGTCCAAGAAATGAATGGAATCATTCAAAAACATAATACAAGAAAACATTGATGTAACCATCAATTGTCGCCCGGGAAATAAATAAAGTAAACAATGGAAATGAGTTTTGATCATCAAACCGCTTCGATATGTGTGAAAAAGGCATGCGTCTAAACGATGGAGACGATAGTCGAGAATATTTTGAAAACTTATAGTCGGATGAAAATCGAACAAAAACGATACCCTTTTCAACTTTATCAATTCCTCAAGTAAATGTTGGCTGCATAAAATATAAATTGAAACCAGACACATGCATCACCTATTTTCAAAAATGTCTTTCACTTTAAGAATATAAAACACGAACTGTGTAAAGTACGTTTTTACGTTTATATGCGATAAGTAAAATTCGATGTTCTAAAAAAAAAAAAGGACCTGTCGTCTTTTCGATAGTAAATGATAAGCAACTTTATATATCAAATATGAAAAACATATATTTTTACAGATTCACTTTATGGAAGTAAATATATTGTGTATCTCGTAATTTATAAAGGGAAAGAACATACTGATTAACAATCTTTTTAATGTTTAGAAAACCTTTAATTCTGAATAACTTCTCCCACCTCAATCCCCATATACCAACACTTAAACTTATATGTATAGAGCAGCCCGGTCCTCCGGGCTGCAATAAACTAAATCGTGTCGTTTTGGGGTGGTATAAATAGCTAGTATTTTTCATAGGGGTTAAACACCAAACCCACGACGTCATAACTATTGATCAAATATTTGCCGAGTGAAAATTAAACGTGATGAGAATTCATGTAAACAAATATATAAAATGGGAGTTTTGAAGCACATACCGTGAATGTTATGTGTGATTCATAAAGAAATATTTACATTTGCTGTGTTTTTCTACTAAGCTGACTGTGAAATTGATTTGAAAGTCATTTTTGTGTATACTCACGCGTAGAAATATACACTGTGAAACTCGTGCTAAAGTGACGTCACAATGAGGCTACAGAGACGTTAATAAAAATGTTACAATATAGGGCAGCAAGAAATTCAAATATTGAGTATATTATTGGTGCTTTTAAACTTGTAAAATGTAAATGTAAGGAATGTTTTTAAGTTTAGTTTGAATTATTGGTGTGTAACTTAAAAACATTCCTTAATTAAAGATTAAGAATCGGGTACGCTGATTTATTCTTATCATGTTTTCTTATAATGACCACAGACAGTGTTTTGAAATCCCAATTAGCCTTTCCTCTGTCGTTCTAACAACAAAAATGCAAAAGCTCAACACTACGCCGCATACTTTGAAACATAATTTTTGTTTGTATCGAAAGCTTGTTTTCTATAGTGCTTGGGAAATGTTGCTAGAATCGTGTGGTTAACATGAATGATGACAATTACTTGATCGTATTTACAAAATGTAAAAATTTTGGTAAGGTTTCATGTGAAACTTTGGAATATTGTTTTCTGTGTCAAGAGAGTAGGATTCTAGCAGCATTTTTTATGGCCCAGTGATGTTTTTGTATAATTATTTTCACAAAAAGAAATGAATTATCCCCGGGGTAGTGTTGAACTTTTCACTTTTTCATTAAGACAATTTTTCTATTTATAGACGTCACGTGATGACGTCGTAATGGAGTGCTTCTTTTAGGCTATGACTCAATGACGCCAATACAATGGATAATAACAGTAAATGATTTATCTATGGCTTTTCCGATTTATCAATTTTACAATTTACGAGAAAAAGTAAAATTCGCCGAATCAAGGTCTGGGTACTGCCTTAACATACCTGCGTTTTGTTAAAAGAACTATGTGATTAAAAACACAAGTATTTCAGTCGTTGATATTAAAAAGATGATATATTGATTGACAATATCTCTGTATTTTTATTTCTTGGAGATAAGGTTTTCTTTTTGTGGCCTTTAATTCAACAATTTTAGCAATTAAGAATATTCATTTTTATTTACATTTTGATACATAAATAAAATTATTATATCCCAATGTACCTGAAAAAGTGCTTGGGAAGGGCCATCGTTTTATAAGTGTACGTGATACTTCATGACAACTTGAACTTACCTACACATTTGATGTATATTACTCTCTTCGTCGTAACGTATACATTGTACCAAACCGAAGCGATAACACATTTATCCCAAGCAAAATTGATATGGAGAAAATTCTGTTCTTATGATTTTTCACAACATTTTAAAGTTAATTCTTATGAATCATTTGCGCCGGTCTGTTTATACACCCACACCCACACCCCATATATATATATATATATATATATATATATATATATATATATATATATATATATATATATATATATATATATATATATATATATATATATATATATATATATATATATATATATATATATATATATATATATATATATATATTCTACCTCTTTACTATGGCCTGGATCATTACAAAGTCTTTTTTTAATATGGTATTGAATGCATATAATTTCAATCTAGATTAATTAAACGAACGAAGAAAGATTGTAATATTCAACAATAATTACACACCTTCGGGCTTTAAACTACACTCAGGTTATATGAATTTTACAATAACGCTCTAAAACTTAACATGTGATTGAAAATAAGACGTGAACTTTATGACACTCTCCCCGTCATTATTGCTCAAGTATGCAATCTTATGACGTCATTTTCAATTATGATGTCATATCTAGGTAGATCAGAGAGATGGCAGCATATGATTAACTGTGATATTTTTCGAGAAGCCTTGCGTTGCACTCCATTTCCTATCAAGTATCTCCACGCTCTTTAATAACGAGCTATAAATTATTTTGGAAAAAAAGTAACATAATGATTTTTTTTATTGAACTTCATAATGATGATATAATCTGATGTGTTTAAATTTAACTGAGTTTAGATCTTATAAACAAGGAGTGTGAATGAAAATGCGCCATATGTTAAGATAAGTAGTATATATTTCTCATTGATTTCAATCAAAATGAAGGTAACAAATCGAAAAGATGCTCAAATGCCCCTTGAAATAATGCAAATTGTGAACAGTGCACACAAAGACCTATCAAACGGTGTTTTTATGTATTAAAAAATTGACGTATTTAGATATAATTTTTGCATGTTATGAAATTCATACAAGCTATTTTAAACAATGTACCACTATAACGCATAGTTCAATGTCATTTATCGGAAAGGGGAAAATGTACATTGAGTATAAAATTGAATATCTGAAAGTTCTCCATTTCTTACAAGTATATATTTTTAAATGTGAATGATCTAATCAAACTGTCAAGTAGTTAAAGAATAAGCTATCATTACAACACTTCACAATGTACACAGGAAAAATTGCAACGTATGTTTAACATATGTTGAACATATGTTGAACGTATGTTCTGAAACATATGTTCGCCATAAAAAACGAGCAACATATGTTTAACATATGTTATGAACGTATGTTGATCATATGTTTAACATATGTTGCTTATATGTTTTGTTTGAACATATGATTAACATATGTTTATGTTCATATGTTTTTCATATGTTAAACATATGTTTATTTCTTACTTACATTTATTATTTGATTATTTTGTATTTCTTTGGATTGCAAAGTTAACTAAATAGTACTCTTGTCCTTTAATCACTTAATAATAAGAAATCAAAGAACACAATCTCGAGCAATAATCTTGTGTTTATTTTTTCAAATTTCTACATAGTTTTGGCTTTATTTCCCTGACAGTGACTGCATTACTTCTGAAATGATAAAGAAAAAATAATAAAAATTAAGAAGTCAATTACATGTATAATTAATAAATATATACCGGTATTAGTTAGCACAAAAATAATTACTTTGAGCACTTACAATTTTTTTCTTGGCCTGTTCTGTGTTTTCTTCCATTTTACAACCCCTTGGAACCTCATCATAGGATTTGAAATTGTCACATGTTAAGGTACTGAATGGCACTACAGTGGAGACTTCAATTTTAAGGTTCTGTTGATTAATACAGGTTCTCTGAAATACAAATTAAACTTTACATGTAATTTAAGTTCATACACTGAAGATATTTGTCATGTGCAAACAAATGCATACCCAATTCTCCTAAAAAGTTATCCTTTGATATGAGTTAAAACAAATTTCATAAAACATTTAATATGTTGTATAACACCATATAATGTTATTTCCAAGACAATTTCACTCTTGGAAGATATGCTTCATAATAATATCATAGAAAAAAACCAATTAGTTTTTCTAAATGTTTACAAATGAATTTGGAATGTTGAAATAGTATAATATATTAATATTAAATCGATAATCAGATGCAAATGTATATTTGGATATAAAAAAAAATACAGGCAAAAATACAGGCAGAGAAATGGACATTTTGCTTCCAGTATATCCCAAAACTTTGTTTGGAAGAAAATAACAAAGCTTGTAATACAGGATGTACTTACCTATTCTGGAGCAAGCCTAGGGTCGTGGTGTTCTTCCATGTTATTTACAACAGGGAGGGGAGCCTATAAAAATATAAAATAGATATTCATACAGTAAATATTTTCTAATCAAATTCCAATCAAAACTTAAAAGAAACTTTGAAAGAGAGTGAGTACAAGTCTCTGGTTTCTCTAGTGTTGAAAAAAAAATTTCTATGTCAATTAATATATAAATAAGTAATAAATTAGCTGATACACTTTAATACATTTACACTATAATCTTGAATGCCTGATTAGACTGAAATTGAGCATCTTTTTGAGTTTCAGATATTTTATAGTTTAAAAGCCAGCAATTTCTATCCATATCAATATCTTCTGACAATATTTTAGTAAAAAAAAAAAGTTTGATTAATTTTTTCATAAAGTAAACCAGAGTAGAATTAAGAAGCAAAAAGAAATTTCTAAAGAAATATTTTGTTATTAAAGAGTCACCCTGTAATTACTGTGATTATTATATGTATTTATTTTCACCTGTATATTGTGATCGGGCAATCTTCAGGTAAATCAGCTTTGGGTTGAATCGTCAGTCCGCAGTCTTAACAGCTTTGGGTTCTTTCAATAAAAACAGCACTCTGACACTGAACTCCAGTTGCTTAATAAATAATAGGTCCTAAAAACAAACATTTTCCATTAATAATTTGGTAAAAGAACCGAATGGATAACCATCTTAACATAGGCTACATACAAACTGCTATGCGAGATTTCTACTTTCACTTTCATGTCAAGATCAAACGTAACTATGGCACGCCGATTGCGTCAAAATTATTTTCTGCACAACGATCATGATTTTATACACGAGCTTGATGAAAAATATACACGAGTAAAATAAAAATACACGTATCGGTAAAAATTGCACATAGTTTGAAAGATTTTTACACAAACATTACGAAAAATACACGAATCCGAAATTTTTTACACGATTAAGGGGTATAAAATGCACAAACGTAAAATAAAAAACTGCACGAGCAGAGGAAACTAAAAATTACACAAGCAATTTTACTGCGCATACAGCTGCGCATATCATTATTATGCACATAGAATATTCATTGTGTTCTTGGTTTTCCGTACTCTTTATCTCTTCATGAATGCTGGATGTAATCGAGAGAAAATGGCGTTGACGATGATATGCACGTTTGTTTGCTTCTTTATCATGTTTATTTCTTTGCTAAAACTCGGTCTGATTTCTAGCTAATGCCAATCGAACGGATGAAGTGTTTTCTTGTGAACTGTGTGAAAAAAAAAAAATTAAAAGTTGCTCGGAGATATCATATTTTTCTTTTATTGACCTAGATCCTAGCCAAAATATGGAGGTATTATATGATGCCGGACATAAGTTGTGGCAAGAAAGGAATCGCATGTTTGTGTTAATGCGGGGGGAAAAAGTACCATTGCATATGATGCACTCGACTTCGAACTAAAAGTAATACACAGCAAACTCTAAATTCCTAACGATAAACATATCTTGCTTTTTACAAAAAAGATAGAATTATTTAGTTTTTTTTTTTCAAATATACGCTCTATGGTCTTTTAAAAATCTCTAACTGATAGATACAACTTTAACGGAAAGTACTTGTATAAAAAAAATTAACACATGCATAATAAAACGATTAATAAGTGGATTCTTCATGAAAATGATGGCAGAATTACTTCTGATTATAATTTATTTTGGTACTTCTCATTTGTACTACTTATGAATTCATTTGGGCAGATTTTTTTTTCATTAAGGAATTGGAAATTATTCAGGATTTTTTTTATTCTCAAAAAGATTAAAAAGTGGGGATTACCTAAACATAAAAAATATTTTATTTCTAATTATTAATGTATCTTTTAAATTACTTATAAAATATGAAGATATCAGCCTACACTATTATGAATTCCTTCCGTGATACGGCATATTTTCAGTCATTAACTACTCAATAAAAAACAAGACATTCCTATGTGTAAGCGTTACCCTCATTTGTAATGGCGATTACTTGATAAATGTTTTCACTTTTAATAAAAAGGACCAGATAAAGGTAAAATATATATACTCTATGTGCTGTAGTACATGCGGTTTTGTGTTTTGTTACTTAAAAATAACAAAAATCTGCTCAAATGATCCTGGCACTGGTAAAACATATCATCAGTGGCGGATCTGGTTCGTGGATTGATTGGAGTCGCAACATCTGAATATATGTATTTTTTGAAGTTTCAAATCGTTGGACCATAATGACACATCAGAAATTTTATAAACATAGTGAATTACTAAATACATCTACGTACAGTGTTACAGATAAGAAAATGGGAATGGATATTATAATAAATAGAAAGAACATAGAATGTGTTTTATCACTCTTGAATAATGCGAATAAATCATGTACTTTATGGAGCTCGAGGTTTGACAAATATTTTCCAAGATAACAATTTCTCTTTACATTTCGAATTCGTATGCATAAAATTTTAATTATTTTCCGAACACTAAGTTTTTGTAATAACACTTTTTTACCCAATAGTCATTATAAAAAGAACATGACTGTATAATTATAAAATGAAAATAATCTTCAATTACGTTCAAGGAATATATTTGATACAAGATCCACTTTTTAAAAGATTATTCATGTGCATATCTAACGTTTTTGAAAATTCAGATTATGAGTTAAAAAGCCTAATCTATGCAATTTGTATTTTGTGCGTATACATGTACAAGTAATTAAAACGTTTGCTTTATAACAATATTGTACATGTGTATCAATGGCATCAACCAGGTCTTGTTTTACTTCGAGCATGACTACGAATAAATATAAGAAAACATGTGATGAATATAAACCTGAAGAATCTTTGGTTTATTACCGTGTGCAAATCTATTATTGTCAAAATCTGCATTGAAAATAAATATGCATGTGTAGCCAAGTCCCAGCTAATTAAGTTCATCTTGTATGTCTTCTTGAATTTGGTCTTACAATATCGTTACAGTTCAGTTGAATTTCAATCCTGATTTCCGTAGACTATTATATATGTACCCTTAAATTCTTAGAAAATATTTCAGCACGTAGCATCAGTAGGGGCTTGCCCCCCCCCCCCCCCCACTTTTTTCCAAACATAACCTACTTCTTTTGTAAATGTTCACTGAAAAGCTGGTCCCCCCCTTTGTTGTAGGATAGTTTAAATCAAAGTAGTTTGGTATTATAATGTGTTTCGAAAAGAAAGTGGACCCCCCCCCACCCCCCCCCCCCCCACGAAATAGGATATTTGAGTTTGGACACTTTACTTTTTTTTTTGTTTGTCAAGGTTTTTTTCAGGTAGGTTGTCAAAAAAAAAAAAATCTGACTGCCCCCACCCCTTTCAAAAACGATACTACGTGCCTGTATTTTATAATTTTAAATTTTCTAAACTCCTTTATATGCATTTTAACTATTCAAAGTAGACTATCGCCGGTGCATTAAAAACAACATAAATTAAGCTTTAATTCACTTAAGTAAAACGACTGTATAATTTTTCTACATTTTCGTGGAGTTTTATGAAATCACCACACGTTGCTCAAAAGTTAAGACTACATGTACTTTATTACATACATATATCAAAAAGTGAGATATGCGTTTCAATATTAGAATTAATTTAAATAGAATAAATTTAAGTTGCACTATTATTTGCTCAATTTTCTTTACTGTTGACTCCCAAAAAGTTTTCGGTCAAATTCCACAACCCAGATGATCGCAACATTGCTTCAAAATCTTTGTATGAATAGCTAGTAATATAAACTTTAATCAAAAGTTATTACTGGTGTGTCAAATAGCTAAATATCGATTAGCGTACAGGTGTATTTTGTTCCAGAACCAGCAGGGAGGGATCTCTGTATGAAAAGGTCACGCATGTACATCCTTGATTATTACCAAAAGTACACTCAGTGGGTGGTGGAGGAGAAGAGTTTTGATTTGTTGTTAACTCTCCTGTATTATATCACATGTTATTTTTATTTAGGCCTATATGTCATTGTTTGAAACTTTCAAAAGAAATTGCTATATAGAGGAATGACATATTTTAAAAAATCCAACAATTAAACACACAACTGGTAATATGCAACTCCCCTTTTTACGTTATCTATACATGTATTCTGTGTAGAATGCTTTTATTCGGGGGTGTTCATATCCTACAAGTTCAAGATTGTGTGCCATTCAATTATCTACATAATATACATTGTACATATTCTTGAGAGTCTAGCGGAATTTTAAAAGAATCTTTTTTAAAAAGATTACTAACACGTTACTCCTCCTTTTGTATTTATAATATGTTTCAAGCATCCAAGCCACATTGAGCTGCTCTCTAATGAATATTAATGAAATGTGCGCAATGAGGATGCGTAGCATTTTATGTCGATGTTGTATTCTCACTCGTGCAGTTTTCGTTTTTACGTTTGTGTAATTTCCTCACTATATCGTGTAAATATTTTGTTGATTGTGCAGTTTATCTATAGTTTGTGTAAATTTCAATAACTTCGTGTATATTTTCCTCACTTTGTGTAAGTTTTTACTTACTCGTGTAATTTTTGTTTGAGGTCGTGCAGAAAATAATTTTGAAGGAATCGGTGTGCCATACGTAACTATTGACAAAAGGAAAACAAATCTGAAAAATTAGAAATGGTAAATGGTTTTTACATTCGTCAAACACAAATCCAAAATAACGTAGACAAGATCACTAGGTGTATCGCCTTTTTACGAACTGCATTGATTACAACTACAGTGAGGTATTATTCAAGTCACGAGAGTACTAGACGTTCGAATGAATCTGTAACGCTAAAGAAATTCTCTTAACACCATGAACTAAATTCTAAAAACATATCTGAGAGCACTTACTTGTTTCCAACACCCAACACTTCTGCTGCAGCAGTGACGTCAAAAATGAGGTACGTACACTTTCATCCGATAAAAACCAAAACCGGTCCGAAAATAAAATGTGGATTTTTTTTTCACTCCAAATAAATCCAAACAAAACGTGGTAAAATACAAATAAATTAATTCTTGATAAATTCAATTTGGGAAATCAAATGTTCAAGAAGACAAATTTTGATTTGAAGAAAGGAGGGGGGGGGGGGCTGAATTTGGAGAAAGTGGAGTGGAGGAGGGGTTGCAGGGTAACAGAGTAGTTAACCAATCCCCCTTTTTTTATGTAAGCTTCTACAAGAAATGATCATTCTTTTGAATAAATAAGTATTCAAATTTATCTTGATAAATGTTATCAATATTATTTTTTTTAACATGCAGTCTACTTGAATTGGTGAATCCAGAAGGATGGGGAGGGGGGTGCTTGTCAACTCTGTTCGGAGGTTGCCCCCTTCGAAAATCGTTGCTATGGGCTTGGCGTGCCTATGGTGCGATTCTATGCATGAGTGTTGGGGGCAACGACCTGGAAACCCCTCTTTCAAAATTTGCTGGATCCCCTCAGACGTGTTAAAACATAACATATAACTCATGTATTTCATAATAGGCTTAATATTAAATTATTGCTGGTTCTCTGATTAACATTAAATTAATTAACATATTTTTTTTATCTCATTAAATTAAAAAAATCAATTCAAATAACGATAACAATAATTTAATATTAAAAGAAATAAATGTGAAAAGGCTATTGGTTATAAAATATAATGTTCACTGAATTTTATGTGAAACT